TAAGCCAGGATCGATTTCCAGACTGGATTGTCTGGAATCCCACAAAGTAACAAGAAATGTTAATGTGAATTTACACACCAAACAGCCTGGAGCCGCAAACCATACACATTAAAGTGCTGTTTAATGCTCAGTCTGCTAGCATGAGCTGCAGGCCCATATTAATATAATAAAGCGCAACTTAAACGCTGTATAAAACTGTCAATAACGTAAAAATATATTCGCCTAAAACAAATAAACATAGTGCAAAACGAGGCGAACCGTAAATCGCTTTTCAATCGTAAACCGCCCGTTATGATGTGTTTATGGTTTTTCTTGATTTTATTAATTGCTTTTGGTTAACGATCGCACTGAAAATGATCTATAAACTATTTGTATTCATCCGGGCGATAATTAGGCATTTATTTCAAAGACAGTTGGTTTTTTTTGGTATTTAAACAGTAATAATCAAAATAGTTCGTTCACTTCACGCGCTGGATGATTTTTTGCCACTCTTTAAACGCCAATTCTTTTAGCTGCGACAACTTTAGCGTTGGATGGATGCTCTTCAGTTCCTTAAGTCGCTTTTCCTGGAAACTTCTGTACTCAGCTTTGCGCCGTTTTTCCGGCTGTTTATCCAGAAGGAGCTCGTTGTCCAGAAGGGCGAGGGCGGCGTCGATGGTTCTGGCGATTTCTTCGCCCAAACTGAGCCGATTGAGGTTTTCCGCCACTGATTCTGTGGCCAGTGGCTTACACTTGGGTCGGCTTTCCAGGAGTTTTTGCTCGATTTTCAGCCGAGTGAGTTTTTGCGAAGCCCGTGGCTTTGTTGCGACTTCAGTCTCCTTTTTCAACAGTTCCTTTAGCTCATTCTTCCTGTTCAGGTATTGCTGGCGCTTTTCCAGTTTCTCCTCCTTTCGCATCAGTTTCTTCTCGATCTTCTTGCACCGATCAGCCCATTGCTGGTCGCAGCTTTTCTTCTCCAGGGCGCCGCTCTTCAGCTTCCTCGCTTTGGCTGCGCAGGCTTTTGAGTTTTCGCCCACGAATTTCTTCGGCATCTTCAGATTGATGGTGGACTTGGCAGGTTTATTTAAAGTGACATTTTTGCGTGAGACCTGCTTGGGTCAGTGTCAGTTTTTCACGTGTTTTTCGCCTTAACGCCCGAGCTCCTTTTGGCCTAATGGAACTTTTATGCCCGGTTGCACCGTTTGACTAAACAGTGATTAAAAATTACGTCGCTTAACCACTGTTTTGTGTATTCTAAACAGCGATTACATTAACCGGCACTTTTTGGCTGATTAGCGCCCGATTAGGGATTAGGGATAGATTGGAAAAGACGGTTTCCCGTTTGGGCGTATGGCTTGAGAGTGAAACTGGAGACCGCAATGCACATTCTTTTGGCAACTGCAATGGCAGAAAATATGGGTGAAGAAGATCCTCTTTTGCTTGCAGATACTAATGAGGAGCTAAATTAGTTAATTGCTGTTAGGGAAGCAGGCACTGTAGCAGAACCACACAGCCAAGCTTTAGTTAACAACTTTAGAAGTCAACTTGTAAATTATTATTTTTCTAGGCTTTAAATTACGAAGAAAATGTACCTTTGGAAGTACAGTAAAGTCCGCTTATAATGAACCGGTTATAGTGAACTTTCGGTTAAAATACACTTTTTCCTTTAATTGAAACGTCGTCCATAAAGACCAACGTATTTTTTTTATTGGTTATAACGAACCCGTTTATAACGAACTTCCGGATATAACGATCACTTTTTAGGTTAGTTGTATAGTAGATACTTTCCTGACTGTGTTTCAATTCCAGATCAAAATCAATTCCTGGGCTTCAGTCATTTATTGTCTATTTATCAATTAAAATACGTTTCGGTGTTTTCCACCATCATCAGTTTCTATGTGTAGCAACAACGCTACACATAGAAACTGATGATTTTTTGCAGCAGAAATGTACAAACAAAAATTACAGACTTTATGAAGTAGATTTCAAATTGAAGTTTGTTTATCTCTTTGTGTTCGTTTTAGTCATACCTATTAACTTCTACTACTCTATGTGAAAATAACGAAATAAAATACACCCCGTGTTTTTGTATGATTATTCACTTATAGGGAACTCCGGATATAACGAACCAGTTTTAGTTCATTTTTCAAGTTCGTTATATCCGGACTCAACTGTAATTCGTATTTTTTAATACCCATTAGAGTGAGTCACACTATAAAGAAGTTTCTTACGTTGCCTTTGACCTTGTACGGAGTTTCAATTTTTAAGTTTTTTCAATAAAAATTAATATTACACCCAGTTTAATGTCAAAAGAGATTAAGTTTTTTCTTTTCTACTTCCTCTTCCAATTAATTTTTCTGCAAATCTGCTAGTGTTGGTGAGTTTGACTGCGTAACCAAAGCCGCAAGGAAAAAACCCACTTTATCATATTCAAGGTTGTAGTTTACGTTTGCTGCACGATGGTGACAAACCTTTTTTCTTCAACCAGTGATATTCGGCGATAATTATAGAAGTAGGGGAAGGCGGGCCAACACGGGGTGATTAATGCGGTTTTCACCCGAACCTTTCTGAGTTTTCCACAATGGTGATTCCTTGAGAGGTTTGCTCTTTGCGCCTTTGAGACACCAAATTTTCTTTTGGCACTGTTTTCGGCCGTTTTTTCAGAACAATTCCTGTTTAAATCCGGAGAAAAATTTCCTTGAAGTTCACCCGCGCAACGAATTTGGCATGTTGCCAGGTTTTGAAAGTTTTCTCTCCAAAGAACTTCTTCGGGTTTAGTAAGAAAATTATCCCTTGATGGCAGTTGAAGAAGAGCAACGTTCTTGTCATAGAAAAACCCTGCATTTAGAAAAGAACTTTCGGTAATTGTTACGCAACACTTTTGGTTTGCTCGACTTAAACTTTAATTCAAAATCAATTCCCTGGGCTTCAGTCATTTATTGTCTATTTATCAATTAAAATACGTTTCGGTGTTTTCCACCATCATCAGTTTCTATGTGTAGCGTTGTTGCTGCTTTAAGCCTTGG